CTGAGCGGGAGTGATCGAATCTGGCTTTGATTAAAAAAAAAAAAATCACTTCGGCTGCTGTGTTGAGCATAGGCTGTAGGGGGCCAAGAGCAAAAGCAGGGGGACTAGTTGGGAGGCCTGCACAGTAACCCTGTGGCTTGGCCAGGTGAGGGCCCCAGAGATGGAAGAGTTGGAGGAGGCCTGTGTGCTTTGGGAAGGAGGGGCCAGCAGCGTGGCTGCTGGGGTGGATGGGGGCCTGCAATAAGAGTCAAGGGTAACTCCTTAAGTTTTCACATGTGAGTGACTCCAAGGATGGCACTGCCATTTACCTAGATGGAGAAGATGATAAGAAAAGCATACCTGGGGGGGGCGCCTGGGTGGCTCAGTCGTTGGGCGCCTGCCTTCGGCTCGGGTCATGATCCCGGGGTCCTGGGATCGAGCCCCGCGTCGGGCTCCCTGCTCGGCGGGAGGCCTGCTCCTCCCTCTCCCACTCCCCCTGCTTGTGTTCCCTCCCTCGCTGTGTCTCTCTATGTCAAATAAATAAATAAATAAATAAATAAAAGCATACCTGGGGGAAAGAGATCCAGAACGGGGTGCTCTGAACATGTTAAGTTTGAGATGCCTTTTAGAGCCAAGAAGAGCTACCTACCCTGTAGGATTTACTATTTGAGAGACCCAGGAGAGAGAGGTCTGGGCTCAAGAGGTTACTTGGGAAACACTGTGGTGAGTCCTGACCCTTGTATAGGGCACTTTCCATTAGTGTAATTAGAATTACTCTAATCAAGAAGTTTTGCAAGAACTCACCTGCTTCGCAAGCAGGATACCCTTGTGTATATACTCTACTGTAATAGTCCCATGCTGAGAAGTATCCTGTACGCCCTTCTCCCCTTGAGGTTTGTGCGGTATGACATCTTACTTGCCCATTTCAGAGGGATTAAAAGCCTCCCTCCCTCCCCTACCTTACCATATCCCCAGGAGGCCACCAGTGTGGTTGCCAGCAGAGAATAGCTCAGTTGATGAGAAAAGCCTTCACTCTGGAATGGAAATGTTTCCGAGACAACTCGGCTCCAGGGTCCCTCAAAAGAGTGGGGGACACTGATCCAGGAGGGTGTTCCCGGGCTCCACCTTCCTCTGGAAGTGGAAACACCCAGGGAACACCCTCTCTGAGAGGAGGATAATAAATTTTCTCAAACTGGGGCAGGGGAGGCAGAGAGAAGCGAAGCTTGAGTCTGGCGCCGTAGACCACTGGGCCAGAGATACAGGAAGCCTCTCTCAGGCTTTATGCTGTTGCAAACGGCAGATGCTTAATTAAAGCATTTGCAATTAGTTTGGCTTGTTCTGTGATTCCTTTCTGCAAACAAATAAGATGGGAGAATATATTCGCTTTTGGCAATCTAGTTCTAAAAAACTTCTTCTCCCGTGATCACTCTTTTGTCCCGCTCAGAAAAGAGCTGAACCACTATGTACACATAGTAAAGTATCTGCCTTACTTCCTTGTTCAAAACAGTATTTTTCCTTCTATTTCATATGGGAGTGCAATTACCCATTTGCTTTTAAGGCATGAGTATTTATTTTGAATTTAATACAAGTTCTTAATTTGGGTGGCTTATTTTTATTCAATGAAGATAACAGTCTTCTAATTCTTGCTATCCTTTGATTCAACATACTAAGCAATGTTATCCGCCTACTCAAAATGCAAATGCTATATTTTTTTAATGATGGGAAAAGCATTCGCTAGACTTGGAAAGAACTTGAGGGCTGTGTGTTTGTGTATGTGTGTCACTGTGTGTGTAAATAGAGTTGCACTTATTGCCACTTTATAAGAACCACTCACTTGAAGCCACTGTAGGGGGGAAAACGACAGGTCCACTCTAAGTGGAGAAATGTGAATTATGTGTGACCCTTTCTTTCATTCATTTATTCAACATTTACTTGGTTTCTACTCCAGTTCTTAGGAATTTTTAACCTATTGAAATGTAGATGTTTTATCCAATAAGTATATACTGCAGATGGCTCCTGAGATAATGATTTTTGGGTGGCTGCTTAAAATTTAAATATGGCATTATATGCATTATTGAAGAGTATGGCCCATCTCTACAGGGTGATAGTTGCAACACACAACACTTTGGGAAGACTGTCACCACACAAACACTGTAAATAAACAGGAACTAGAGTGCTCCCTTTCTATCCATTTGAAAAAAGACATAACACAGAAATGAGGTTTTAAACCTGATACTCCATTCTTTTCTGCTTTCGGATTGGTTTGCAAAGTGCCTCATTCAAGAATATCCTAAAACCAAAATCATAATACAGAGTGGGGGTTACTCAAGAGTCAAATAAAAGTCACCATATCAACAAGCATGGGTAAACCAGATTCAAATAGTGCAATTATTTTTTAACAGATAGTTTAGATTAATAGGTGGAGACTCGGTTCTGCCACAGTATTTAAGGTTAGGTTAATAATTAACTTTGGTGCCTGGAGTAGTTTAATCAAAGCTTACTGTAAATCATAAAACTGCTCCATGCAGACTAAACAGGGTATTAAAAAAATATACAAAATGCTTGCAATCTTGACCTCTCATAGCCATTTGGATAAGGTGTAAAAATACAATATTTTCATTCAGAATCGAGCCCAGGCATCTTTACACTGGGGGAAAAAGCCTAAATAAAGGATTCATGTGTCTGGAACCAACAGTCTTTCCCCTGCCATCAGAGTGGACTCGATGCCCAAGATGTATGTCTGAAGGAAGCCCGACAATTACCAGGATTAGAGAAAGACAAGGCAAAGACACTCAACCTTCCTACCCGGGAAAGACTTAAAAACCAGCGCTGGGGGGCATTACATAGCTTTCTTGAGACCTGCTGACAGAATACTGCACCTGGGTTGAACATCTTTTCAGATTTGAGGCAAAGAAAGTTGTGTGTACAAGTGTACCCATCTGCCTGCCTGTGTGTGTGTGTGTGTGTGTCTGCCTTCGCCTGTGTTTTAAACCTTTTCATGGATCACAGTCAGTAAGTAGCAACTTGATTTCCATCCAGCATAAGCAGAGAGCGATCCCGTAGGCAGAGAGCGATCCCACCGCGGCCATGAGTGGCCACGCATTTTCAAAGCATCCACCTTGCTCCCAAGGACCGACTGGAACGGCCGTTGGGGCTGCGCAGTGCGATACAGGCCGGCGGCGGCTGCTGTTAAGTGCTTTCCTTGGCTGTGAAGACAGCAGGTTCTCCCCTGCTCCAGCAACACCTGGCTCCCTGTTCCGTTCCTCCCTGGAGATCCGCCGGCTGGAAAAATGCGCAGGGCACCGGGGTGGGGGTGGGGGGGAGGCTGGGGATGTTGCACTTGGAACTGGGGCTTACAAGCCAGCGAGTTCCGGCCCCGTGTCCACACGCACCCGCGCGCCAGCCGCTGTCCAGTGGCCGCACCAGCATCCTGAATCCTGCCCCTGAACTTCCTTTCCCTCCGCCTCGCCACCGCTTTCTCGGCTGGACCAGCAAATGCATTGCTGAGACCCCAGCGCAACTGACTGCTGGACTGGGGAGCCACTGTCTGTGGACCAGCATCTAACTCCCCGCGTCCTGGGCGGTCCACCCGCTTCCCTCCGGATTCGGTTTCCCGCGGGCTGCACACGCTGAGCCCCAGCCCGTCGTGCCCGCCGCCCCTAGCTTTCAGAGAAACTTTCCAGAAGCGCCGGGTCGAGTGACCCGGTGCTGGAAAAGGAGGAGGCGCTGGGCGGAGGGGTGGCGAGGCGGCGAAGGAACGGGAAAGACAGCGGAATCCTGTTTCCTTTCCCGAAACGCGCAAGTTCGGGACTGCTCCCTGGCTCCCCCTGTGTACCGCTCGGGTCGTGGGAGGAGAGAGCGGACCTCAGGATTCTGCTTTGCAGCGTATACCACAGTGGGGAGCTGAGAAAAAAAGCAGAGAATCTGGAGCAGAGACACTTGCCACCCAGCGGAGTCATACAGGGAGGGTGGGCACTGTCGAGTTAGCTCCCCAGCGCCCCACTGCCCGCGAGGCAGCTCTCTAGGACGCGGCGAGTAGTTCGGACATCCAGAATCTGGGGCCCGGGCAGAGCCCTTGTCTGGGTAGCCAGCACTGGGTCATCCTTTGCAAGGCTTTCCACCCTTCCCCCTCCAGAGACAACTCCTTTCCGTAGAGGGACCCCGTAGATTTGGGGGAAGAGCGCAGCGGGCGCCAGCCTCAGCGTGGCGGGCTCTGTACTAGAGGGGGACGGAGCCGCGACAGATGCTGTCCTCGCCGGCCAGAAGGGAGCTGCAGCGGGGGGATAGAGGACCCAGGGCGGGGGGCGCCGCGCCACCCCGGGGGGAGACCATTGCTGGGCACTCATTCGAGCAAACAAAGCCCGGAACCTCTGGTGCCAGCGGCCGCGAAAGCCGGGATGTCACCAAGTGGCAGGGCGCACGGGTACCAGGGCCATTACAAGTTTCCCGCACTCCACAGAGCCCAGCCCGGACCCCGAGCGGACAACAAAAGATTCTCTTCGCTTTCTCCGCGGAACCCCTTCTCCCACCACAGAACCCAAACCTGGAGCTGGGCGAAAACAGCGCTCTTCTACCCAACGTCCTCCAACCCTCGAGGGCAGAACCCTTTCCCCAGCCTTTGCATTAGGACCGGGCGCTGCTGAGAATCCCACCCTCTCGGGGCCTCTCTGCTCCCTGCTGGCCCGAAAGTGAGGACGAGCCCCGGGTCCTGCACACACATTCCCCAGCCACGCAGCACCGCGCGGTCGCGGTCCCGGGCGGTGCCCGGGCGTGTGCGCGGCGCGGGTGGGGAAGCTCGCGACGCGGAGCCCGGCGGTCTCCCGGGCACAGGGCGGAGAGGAGCGGCGGGCTGGGCTCACGACTGCTCCCAAGGGCCGGGCAACGCTCGGGAGACAGACACCAGACAAAATAAAACGCAGCTGCCACAAAGCCGACAGCGCGTGCCGGCCGCGGCCCCGGGACCCTCTGGCTGCAGCCGACCCGCCAGGGAGGTGGGGCGCGCCGGGGCGCCCGTGCCGTACCTTTTCGGTGCATCGACGGGCAGGCGGCCGGGGCTCGGAGCGGGCTGGTACAGCGTGTATCCCATTTAGTAATCCATTATCGAGGAGATCTCTCCGGGCCGCAAGCTGCGCTCTCTCCTTTGCAAGCCTTTGTCATTCCTACATGTGTGCTCCTCTCTTTGGGGGTAACAGTCGCGGCGACTACTTTCTGGGAAGCAAACGCGCTGTGTTCATCTCCAGTGACAGGCGCAGAAGGGGAGAGGGAAAAAAAGAAAGAAAAGAAAAGAAAAAAAAAAAAAACCCAACAAGGAAGGAGTAAATGTTCAAGAAACTCTTCTCCAAATCCAAATTCCACTTGGATTCCACTCCGGTGAGTCCCTTCGGTGGTGTCCGCGCGGATTAACAAGTCATTTCAGGGTGGGGGGCGGGGTGGGGGCTGGGGCAGGGGGCACGCTGTAGTCCCCGCTGTACGACCGCGAGCGCTGCTGCCCGGGTGTGGCGATGCTGGCCGCTGCCGCCGCTCCTAAGCGGGCATCGCGGGCGGGCGGCCCCGCGGAGAAGCGCCGCTACTGCGTCCCGAGCGCCTGGGCGGCCGAGTGCGCGGGGAGCGGAGTTGGCTGCAGCCTCACCCGGTGCCGCTCACTACTCCTCTGTCACTGGAGAGGCCGCGGCTCCCAGGCGGAGCCAAGTCCCGGACTGGATTGCGCAGAGCGGACTCTCCTCCTGCAACCCCGCCTCCTTTGGCTGGCGTCTCCTCCGACCCAGAGGAGGGCTATGGTGTTTGTGTGTGAATGTGAGGAAGCGTGGCGGAGAGAGGGAGAACCTACGCGGTGTGGCTGCAGGTGGAGCCTCGCACCGACTGGCCAGCGAGGCTCCTTCCACCACGATTCCCGGCCCCCGCCGCGCTCCGGGTGGAGGTCCCGGTGGGGTTGACTCCGGCTAGAGCCCAGCCCCTGCTTCCCCCACCCCCGCATCTGCTCTAGCAAGGGGGAAAAAAGAGAGAGAGAGAAAAAAATCCCGGACAGCATTGCTGAGCCCTGCCAAATCAGAAAAATAAATAAAAATAGACGTAGTGCAGGAGCGAGTTACAAGAAAGGATCTGATCATCGATTTTCTTAAATGGAAAAGTTTTAAAGGATGAGAGTAAGTGAACGATGAGCCTTTCTAATTCTGATTACTGTGTCAAGAGGTAGATTCCAGAAGTGATGGACGCTCTATGCACCCAGATGCATTGGATAAAAGCCGGTGCGGTTAAAAAAACACACCTCGAAGAAATGAACACAGTTATTAGCGCAATACAACATGTTAATAAAGCGTGTTAAGTAAGCACGTAGATTGTGGTACAAAGAATGGTGTCATCACCAACAGCCATAATCTGTTTTAAAACTTAGAAAGTGTGTGGACTGTCCTCAGAAATAAGTAAACTTCAGAAATAAGACGCAGACAATTGCAATGAGGATCCAACAGCTTCGTGGAAGAAGTACATCGCAACTTCTTACACGGCGCTATTGTTAGGATCACACGGAGAATGGCAGCCACAGCCTTCCTCCGCCGCGTGAACTTGCAGTCGCCAGAAAGCCTTGCAGTTACAGGCTTGTGCCGACTGGTCCGGTGTCCCCCTCCCGCGTGCCGCTGCTCGCTCCCCGCCGCGCCCGCACGCCCCGCTCCCCAGTGGGCTTCGCAGATGGTGCGGGCCCGGAGCCACAGCCTTTGCAGAGAGGAACACTGGGCGGCCAAGCAGTTCTCCAAGCGGTATTTACCAGTCATGGGGTCGGCCGGCCGAGAAAATCACTGGGAGGAGGATCGGGGTCTCACTTGCCCTTAGGCCGAGTGCCCTCAAAAGTAGATGCATCAGAAACTGTACCTGTTCCCTAATTGGGGCCAGGACCCACGTTCTCTTTTCTGCTGTTCCTGCGGGGAACCCAAGTTACGTACAGAAAGCTGCTCGTGAGGACTCACGAAGAATAAATGCACATGCGACAACACCCTGTATCTACCATATATTTTTTTTTTCCACAAACCACCTGGAAAAGGTGGCGAGAACGGTGAGGGAAGTCAGGCTCTCTGCTGTTCGCCAGAGCTGCCAGCAGGGGCCGCTATCCCCACCTTTCCCAAGCAAAAGCCACAGATCCTGGGTGGCGGGG